AAAAAAAAAAAAAAAACACAGCGAAACATGGGCAAGAAGTGTATAAAGAAGGCAACGGCGTGAACCAAAGAAACACACACAAAATCAAAAAAAAAAAAAGAGAGAGAAAAACAAGACAGGCGCACACACACACACTTTGACCCACTCGTCAATGTACACATACGAACAAGAGCCCTGAGCAGGCATGCAGGCATTCATCCAGCGCACCGCCGCACCGCGCTGCAGCCGCTGGTGTCGCCCCTCCAACCCCGCTGGCCTCCTTCGGCTCCACTCACGACGGCAGCAAGGTGTATATCGTTGACATGCGCCTCTCCTGCCGCGGCGCCTGTGCGCCCACGCTGCCCCGTGCACTCTGGCGCTGCGCTGTGGCGCGTGCATCGCCGCTCTTTATCAGCAACTCGTCGCCGTCGTCGAAGTACTGCCACCGCGCGCAGCTCGCGTACAGAACCGTTACCAAGACCATTATCCCGCCTATCACTAGCACCGCAATGCCGAGGCCGCACGTGACGTCGCAGAACGTAGAGGTGAAAAAGATCGCCTTAGTAACGTCCTGTACCACCTCCGATGGCTCCAATGCGATAAAGACCTCGCGTTGGCTGAGCAACAACATTCTTTCCCTACGGGTGATCGAGTACAGAACCCGCTGGACAGCAGTGAAGCATTCAGGCGGCATTGTAAGCCGTGGCGCACCTTCAGTTTCGTTCCTGTCGGTGTATAGGGCTTCACACGACGTAAGGCTGTTGCCACGGTCTATTAGAGGGTACCTCGTTTGCGTGGCAGTGAAGTAGGCGGCGAGACGGCTGGGGATGCCGTTGAACCGCGGCAGCACGGACACCACGCTGATGCCGCACCTGTCATCATCCTCTCCTCCTGCTGCTGCTGCTGATGCCGTTGGTGTGGCGTTGCACCACCAGTGCGCACGGCAGAAGCAACGCGAGAGGTCCTCCCGAAGCGCGGCCTGCATGTCCGCCACATACCGCGCCGGCGCCACCGCCAAGTAGTGCAGAGCAGGGCCACGCAGAATAAGCGTTCCGTTCGTTTCCATCACATCCAAGGAAGAGGAAACGGTCAAAGACGAAGAGGATAACCTTATGCCGGCAGAGTATGGGGGAGCGGCTGTTGTAACACTCGGCTCCGCCAACGCTGAAGCGAAGGAGGGGCACGGGCCCAGCAATGCAGCAGCCAGGTAGAGCAGCATCAAGAGGGCCAGCATGGGTGTGGCGTTGACGGGGAGGGTGGCGCACAACGCGTCTGTTGGCTTGCTATTGGCGAACGCCGAGAACTGCCGGTCGATATGAACCAAAGGAAAGACTGGCACGCGCCGTGCGACGCCTTTGTGCCGCTTGCTCCGCGCAGTTGATATAGGAGTCTCGCAGGCCACGCAATAGGCGTTGGTGCTGTGTATCCAACGCCCCCTTCCCACCACCACCAATCAAAAACAAACAACAACGAATAAAAAAAGGGGGAAAAAGGATTTTTTTTTTTCGTGTGACTGGGCCTGGTGACTCCCCAGCCGCACCACTTTGTGTGTGACTCGTAGTGGAAGCAGAGAGACGGGGAGAAGGAGAGGGGCGGGCACATACACGCACAGAGTGAAGGGGAAAACAGATATATATATATATATATATATGTATCACACTGCCGTACCCGCTCTCACTCACACACACTCTCAGACTCTCTGTATCTTTACTTGAGCATTTCGGGTGACGACAATTAGGGCGCCGCGCCCTCACAACACAACGCAACGCAGCGAAGCAATCCAACTCCACCCACGCGGGCACACCAGCACACAATAATACCCACACCCCCGTTCCCCGCCTCGTATTCCGTACCTTCCACTTGTTGCATGCTCGTCCCATATGTTAATTATCCAGGGTATTTTTCCCCCGAGCGCTTCTTCACTCTGCTGTCCCTGCGGTCACACCACCAGCGCGCCGCCGCGCCCATG